ACTCAGATAATTTCAATTAAACTCTCAAGCTATTAAATGACTCAAATTGTCGTTAAAGTGTGCATTTTTCCACGAAATAACATTTTTATTCACACTCGTATTCAAGATTTGAATAAACTAGAAACGTAAATCTAAATTTTATGTCTGCAGCAAAATGATGGCCTTTATCTCAGGCCTTCTATGTTGCATCAAACTTTTCTTTCAACAAAAAATAGCCTATATTAAGTCAGTTTGCTTTATTCTAGTTGCAAATTTGTCTCCTTGCTTGACAATCACGCGCTTAATGCCAGAAAATATTGATTTTTGAATTCTTGAAGAACATCAACTTTTGCTTTACAAGGAAGGATGGCAAATTGTAGATTTACGACATGTATAATTATCATGTGTGCTGTCGATTGAGATTTCATTTATTTATGAATACACTTTGCATGCAAAATCACTCAGCATTTTTGCATAATTATCTGACCAAATTCGAAACACTCTAACGTGGGCCGCCAATTTTTGTTATATAAAACTCGAGCTGGGGTCAATCAAGCGAATAGATTGAATTGTACATTGACTCGTGGAAAAATTGTATATATATATTTTGATTTGGTATTTTTGTGTATGGCCAAAAACTCGGCAACAAATTGATAAACGATGCAGGAAATGTTAGTCTCAGGGATACAACTGCGGTTTTGGCTGCTTTTCTGAAGCTACTCGAAATCTGTGTATTTAAATTAATGACGCTTTCTGCAAAAACTCATATTTATTGCATTCTCCTGGGGAACACTCGTTTTATGTATAAATTCAGTAAATTCATAGAAATTGTGTATTTTGTCTTTGGAGATGATTTAGAGAGCAAAAAAGGAGATTATCCGACAAAGAATCGCCTGTTCGAAACAGTTTTTTGCGATTTTACCTGAGAGAGTGGATTTTGTGGCCGAAATTGAAGGTTGAATGTATGATTAATGTTAAAATTAATGCATTTTCCATGTATTCTTGCATGTGATCTCATTCTGACTTTGGGTCATATAGCTAAAAATTTGCAATGTTGTTGACTTGTATTTAATTCATGGCAAAAGCGGGATGTTTAGAATAAGATTTCATTGAGACTAGACACTGAAATGTTCATAAAATTCAACAAATTTGGTATGCAAATAACATAGAGAAAGCGTGTCTCAACTGATGATGGCAGTTCTTGGAAGACATAATAAAATGCATTTTTTGCCTTCAATCAAAATCATTTGATATACAGCAAACTTGATTATTCAAATGAAATGGAATTTTCTTCCAGCACAATATTGAATGGTTTGTGGAAAGATGAAAAATCATTTCGCCCACAATCCAACTATTCCGGGCAGAGCGTCGATATGTAAGCATAGATTTTTCCCCCTAAAATCTTTACCGAATTATCTTATGTGTGTAGTTTATATAATCGATTTACATGTGTGCATATGTAATGGAAAACATCACGCAATCCCTTTGAAAAGCGAAGAATATCGGGTATAGTTATGTATTGGGAGGAGAGCGAAGCGAAGGGGCCCCCCTTTTATATTCCGAACAGTTACCCTTGATTGGTCCTTTCTACTCTAATCCCAGGGCTTAAGACCGTCCTCCCTTATTTTCTTCTTGCGCTCACGAACAGCAGAAGCCGAACAGCGAAAAGATAGACAGTTATTTTAATAGCTAACAACATATCCTCTCTCCTCTCTATTGCTAGTAGAGAGATGATAATATGACGAGAATTATCTTTCCATGCCCAAGAGTCGCAGGGCGAGAGACGCGCTGCATGGCGTGGAAATATAAAAAGACTCCTCTTGAGAAAGTCGATCAAATTTACAGCGTCTTTTGAAGCACGGCGAAGGGGAATGGCATCGATGGGAAATGATGAAAAAAATCTAAAAACAAATTCTGTGCGGATTATGTGGGATTAAATATGATCAACTAATTTTAGTTTTCAAATGAAGTAAAGCAGAAATGATGCAGACGCGAAGTGCTGCTGTTCTCGTAATTATAGACACGTGGACCTGTGTGTGAAAGCGCTGAGGAGAGTGGATCAAGTCGGAGGATATTTGGCAGAAAATTGTTATCATTTAACAGAGTTTGGGGCGGATTTAAACAATCAACGGCCCACTAGAAAGTGAACACACAACCCGGCGCAAAGATGTTGCGAATTTGCCCTTCATGAGTATGAGAGAGAGAGTTTCTCCGGTACTTTGCAACATCGTTTGGAGTTCGCATGGGAAGAAGTCCTCGACGATGGGATAAAAAGATTTGAGATAATCTAGAATACATTAGCGGTAGCTTTCTGCGGATTCCTATTCAATTCTTCAGGTATCCCAGGGAATCCATGTAAATTACGACTTGCTGAGCGTTTTCACCATTTTCTCCTCCTATACATCACAATGGCTATAGCCGAGGGGTGAAAGGGGAAACGAGGAAGCATGAGAGAATCAAACCCATGAATAGACGACGATGAATTGGAATTTAGTTTGGCCACTGAGTCGCAATTGAATTAATAGTCTTCGCAGAGTAAATCCGCCTCTTTGTCTTCCGCATCCAACAAATATTAGAACAATCGATCGATGGAGTTTTATATGTTTAATGACTGATCAAACATTTCCTTCTTAAACTACTGAAGTATACTGAAGAGAGTCACACAAGAAATTTCCTTCATTTTCACACCAATAATTTGTACAATTATATTTTTAATTGAAAATTAATTTTTTTGCAAAATATGTGAATGTTTAACTGAGATAATTTTGAAAGTTTGTCAAAAGAATACTAACAGAATCGCATAGCACGACAAATAGATTTAAAAGGAGTGAAAAAGTTCAGTTTACACATATTTTCATATCCAGTATAGCCTGTAGGTAAGTTCCACGGGAAGCTATTTCTGTGCTTCTTCACACTTTCAATTTGATCTCCGCCTGAATTCTGGGAAAGGCTTCTCTGAAGGTGCCAAAGTACACACCTTGCTACATATATCAAGGAAGGCTTCAGCGGGTGCGTGGCATGAGGCGAAAGTGTGTGTTTAGCACTGCATAACTCGAGATATGAAATTGGGCTTCAACCTCGCAGCGACTCTGAGAGATAAAAAGCTCTGTTAAATCCAACTTCTTGTTAAATAAAGAGAAGAAATAGAAAAAAGAAAGAGTATTTCGTCTCTCGTGCTTCCCTTTTTCAATATATATTCCGCAGCAGAGGCGAGAGGATGGGCCATCACTTCACGTATATCAAAAGTGTTTTATTTCTTTGTTTCCTCTCATTCTTGCCGAGGTATTATTGAGAAGGTGGGTTGGCAAGAGGGTGGGAAGCCTCTCTGTACTCGTGGAAAACTTATATTTGTTTATTTTGAACTTTTTTCCCTTCGCCTCCACTTGAGAGACGCACACGAATCCTCCTTCGTCCTTTTATACAAAGTGAACAACAAATGGTAGACGGGAAATTTAAACGGTGTGGCAAAGATACCTAAAGAAAGGCGAGAGTGGAAGTATAAAATACAAGAGTGGAGCTTCTGGTGTTACGTCTACCATAAACGAACATCATTTATTGTAAGGAGGAAACAAGATTTATTGCAAAATGTGTGACGTCATGGCATGGCAACATCCTGAAATACTGAAATTGAGATAAAATATTGCCATTTGGACTTGCAGCGCGGGAAAACTTGCAAAATAATTCGACAGAACTTCATTATTCTTTGGGGAAGGGCCGATGTCCATGCATAGCATTTAGGGATGGTGCCTCGGACCCCGCAGAATGGTGACCCTTTGCGACAGGGCGGAGGAGAAGTGGTGAGCGACAGCATTGGCTTTCCCATTTTTTCCATCTCGCCTCCCTCAACCTCATCTGTTATTTTCATACACCACGAGGAGAAGAGATCAATTCCGAAAGAACCGACATCAATTATTTCGTGTCCATCCCCTCACACATAGAAAGGCAGGGTGTATAGAACAAGTGGCAGAACTTCCTCTCAGTTTGATGGTGAAATCGTGGTAATGGAACAAGACAGTCAGTGGATACCGCAAAAGAAACGAAGATATATTGCCGAGGAACCCGTCGTACTATAAATAAGAAAATGTGGGTGCTCATTTTGTGGTGGTGTCTTCTTGAAAATCTGGAAATGATGATGGGAAAACGCAGACCGCAAATCAACCACTCGGGAGATTTATAGGCGAATGGACAGGGAGTGTTTCTAGTTTGGCATTAGATGGCAATAATGACATATTAAGTACCTTTGCGCTAGGGGTAGAACCGCCCCACCCACACCAATTAATGAGTTAATTTATGATGGAAACGCTCAATAACTTCCCTTTTCCGCAGCAATGACGAGATGCCATTTTCTGAGATTTGTGCGTTTTTTCCTCCCTCTCTATTCCATAAATACATACATACAAACATATAGAATACAATTATGATTTTGTATTCTTTCGCAATCTCCAGAGGAAAGGCAAGTTGACAAAAAAAGCAGGGAAATTGCTTTTCCTCATCTTCCTCTCTGCGTGCAGATGAAATTGAAAGAGACTTGTGTTTATTCTCGATGCCTTGAGTACACATATAAGTCGATATATAATAGATTTGGAATTGAAAAGAACATAAAAGTCTTCACGGAAATAACTCTTCATGAAATACCGCCAGAGTATTGATTTAAATTCAAACGTGCAGCATCTAAATATGCTCTCGGGGATATGTGTGCATTTGTGGAATGAAAGCTCTAGTCGAGCTTTGTGTCTGTGCTAGCATTGTTGTGTGTCTCGGATGTGTGGAAAATGTCATCAGTGGAGAAACCATTGAGCTGGTCGAAGCCCGGCTCAATTGCATTTTCTTTAAATTTGGGTATGTTTGTCCAAAAAGACTGTCAGACGGTGATCGGTGATTTAATTCACAGTTTGAGTTTTGGAAGTTGAGTTTGAAAATTTTTCTAAACTGTTGATCAAACCTACAATGTGGACATAATAAAACTACACAAAACGGTAAAACCATAAATTTATTGTCTAAAACATCTTTAAATTCGTCGCACATCCATGGTTCATCCTAAATTCAACGTAAATCATACCTGAAACAGTAAAATACACAAGGCATCAGTTTATCCTCCGCTCTTAAACAATACACTTAGATTTCATGACACAGAAGCATTTGATTAACTCTCTGTTTAATTTTGAATAATAATGCTAATTAAAAAATGAAGAAAAATAAACAGCAAAGACATACTATGAAATAGGATATAGAAGCTTTTATGAAGAAAGTGTTACGTCTGAAGGAACTTGATAGCATTTTATTCTTTCCTCCAAACATCCGTTTTCAATCATATGTATTGCGTACATCATTCCTAAATGGGAGGGGAATAAAAAATTTTTCAGTTTGCATGTGTGGTTAAGAAATGGTGTTAGGAAAAAGGTGACAAAGAGAAGCTTTTGGTTATTTAGCGACATGACAGAGGCAGAAAGAAGAAAAACGGTCAAAATGCACATTCTCAAACAGGAAAGAAAATGCCAGTGACAAAGAGTGAAGATCTGTTTGTTTTTTTTTTTTCTTTGCGTGACCAAGCGCGGAAAACTCACCTGTGTTGTGCCAATAGTAGAGAGCGCACACAACAAGGATGTGCCACAGGTTGTGAGAATGACCCAGATAGTCTACCTTCCCGGAAAACCATCTCTCAGGTATGCGAGTGATGTAGATGAGGAACGCCAGGCCGACAATTATGTACATTCCAATGACACGTGGAATAAGAAGCTGCAAAAGGTAATACGTGAGCACGAAAAGTAGGTGAAATGAATGGGAAAGTATTGGCAAGTTCAACAATTTGATAATCAACGGCCCAATTCATTTGGATGGGCGCGCATTTTGAATGTCACACGATAATCTTCTTTACATAATTTGTCACTTCAATTGACGAGGTGAATTTTCATCAGAAAAACATAAACACACAGCTTTATTTCGCCAAGTGCTTAACATTCACAAATGAAAGTTATTATGCAACACTCAAATTCACACACTGTGTCGACTGATTGTTGCAAAATTGTCTTGCGTGAGGCGCGCGCCACTGTTGTGACGCTCTATAATTGTGAAAATTCAACCCATTTGATATGCACTTTTGGCACAAATCCATCAACCATTGTGCCTCGAGCTCATGTAACTCTTCTGTTAAATGTTAAATCTTGCCTTTGACCTTCAACTCGACAATTTGGGACAAATTTAACACTCACCCGAACCATGGTGTTCTCAAATCCGCCCATTTCGATGGTCCAGTGAATAGTTGGAATAACACCATAAGCTGCCCAGGCGACGAACATCAGCATCTTCACGTTTGAGTGCACTTTCAGTTTGGGTATTTGCAGAATCAAAGCCGTAATGAAAATTGCTCCAACCGTAAAAATGTAGAAATTCCTTAAATTCTGCAATAGAAGAAGTTTCAATTTTTTTCACTCTCATCTTACTCAATCCACCTTTCTGTATTCGCGAATGAGGGCAAAAGTGCATTTCAACTAGCCACTGTACATTGCTTTCAATTCAATTCTCGCTCTTGTTCTCGCTTTAATTGAGTTGTTTGTAAGTTTTAGTATTTAAATGATGCATCTAATCATGGCATGTCTCATTGATAACGCAATTATTATTTGCATTCTTGTGCTTCTTGTAGACTTAGAAGGTTACAGGTCAAAGGTTAGTCACAGTTTGCTTTCATTTGGACAAAAATTAGCTATAAAATATGCAATTTTGCTAATTTTATGAATGAGAATTGCGAATAAAGGGCAAATTTAGCCATGAAAAATAGGACCTAATGCAAAATAGCACACAGTTGTGCTGGATTCTTAAAATAGGACAAGTATAGATTTTATGAAAAATGTATGATTTTCAGTGATAAATTACACTTAAAGATTGACAAACAACAAGTTTACAAATTATTAAACAAATTTGTTCTTGAACTTGATTTTTAGACTTTCTTGTGTTCTTGAAAAACCACAAAAGTTCATAACAGGAAGCAAACCTTACATATCTCTGACAAGGAAAAGTAATATTTCATAACTTTTCTCCTGTCCTTTTTCAGTTTTGCGTTATCGACGCGACAATCACAGCGTAACCTTAAGCTTAAAGGTACAAATTCTTCGCGTGATCTCTTTTTACATCAAACAAAACCATTATTAACTCGATTGCCTTCAATTCAAGCCAGCGTGATATATAAAATTGTTCATATCCGCGATTTTGTGGTAAAATTACAGTTAAAAATCGAACAGAGTGAAAGTTACGAGGAATCCCAGATAAGGTCGGCTTGTACTCACATCATGGCACCAGAAAGCATAGTAAATGCCACTAATGTAGATTGCGAAGAGCGACAGCGCAATGCCGAATAGATCGTACGCCAGGAAGCAGTCGTAGTCCTTTTCCGATCGACAGGAGAAAGTGTGATAGACGGACGAGAGGATCATGCACATCTGGAAGCAGATCAGCAGCGCGCACACCACAATCTTGTCCTGCGTCGTGGCGTGAATGTTGAGGAAGGTGATGTCGACGAAGCTAAGTCCAAGGAACAGGAACCACCCGAAGATGTGGCTCCAAATGTTTATCTATCGCAGGAGAAAGGCATGAGTAAGAGAGCTTCAGTGGGAAAAACCGTGCGATCTTTACCGTTTCATTGGTCCACCAGAAAATACTCTCAAGGCACAATTTGGTTGGAAGTAGATTTCTGTATCCATTGCGAATGTAGGAGTTGAATTGCAGGTATTTTGGCGCCTGATTGCACGTGTGGGAAAACCCCATTTGGGGAGAAAATGTTCAATATTGAGAGTCATTGACATCTTTTGCCCATGAAATCAAGAAAAATGTCTCACCTCGTCATATCGTAAGAGTTTCCGCAACTTTTTGTACTCATTCACTGCTATTTGGTGTTCACTGCACACTGCGTTGATATTTTCAGCCTTTATCTGTGGTTTTTCCTCCGCCGTGAGATTGCCCGTCATCATCTTGGTCGTGCCATTTTCCATAAGAACTGCCGGCTCCACGGAGGACACATTGTTCTGAAAAGAAACACAACCATCACAGAGACCCTTTCAAGTGCAATGAGCCCATGAAAACCTTCAATCTAGACAGGAAATTAAATTTACCCAAACAATCATTATAGAGAGAAAATGCTGGTGGACAAAAGTGTTAATCCAAATGGTCAAGTTGACTGTTTTGTTTCCCTATTTCCTCATCACACCATCGCAAGTGTTTGTCAATTCTGCATTAAGTTGGTGTTGCTTTCATACCAATTTTTCCCACTGTTATCGTCAGAGAAGTCAAAGTCACAAAAGTGTTAAACTAAGCATAGAAAATCACGAATTATGTAAAGTAATACTTCTCAATTCACCTCACGAATAGGGAGATAAAGAAGAAATATATTGTTTTGAGCAATTCGATAAAGTCAAAATTACCAAAGTGAAGATTCATGTCAGTTGCGGAAAAGTGAGTTTCAACTTTACTTTCATTTTTATTTTAATTGTACGATTTCCTCGATTTTAGACTCATTACAAAATGCCTTTTTTTCATTTTAAAATCTCAGAGTTCGACATAAAATTGTAACATTCACATTCCAAATTGTTCGCAAAACTCCATCGTCACATAAGCCTAACTACATGTGTGCTTATTAAAAATCCCCTTGAACCACATGGTAATGAAATGTATAATATAATTAATTTTGAAAGAAAATTTACCTAAACATCCGTAAGAATGCTTCTGATTTGTACAAATTGCTTAAACAGAGATAAGATGAAAAGCTGATCATTGCCAAAGCGATCATCTGCGCAGGATTCATGTTGAAAATGCGAAGATAATGTGGAAAAATGCCAGATAATCACACAAAAAGCTAATCACAATTTACTATAGCGTGTCTCGTTCATCTCTTCCCGCTAGAGATTTGGCTTTAAAATGATGTGTAAACCGCGGAACAGGAAGTCTTTCTACCAAGAGCACCGCCATTCAGCTTGTGAACAACGCGAATACTAATGATTAGAATAGAGACACAATCAAATACGCACTTTGATAAGCGGACAAGGAAATTGGGGTGGAATTTGTGCAATCTATCACCCAGATTCGACTGCAACACTCTTGGCCAAGACTCTGCGACCCAGTTTTGGGATTTGGAGCCAAAAATACTGGACATGCAAATGACTTAGTCCATCTGAGCGTTGCATAAGACGCATCACGGTTTCTGCGTACGCGAGATACAACGTTGCACTCTGTGTTGATTCGTGGTCGTCGTACCACTTATTAGATAAGTCTCTCTCTTTTTCCACACACATGACATAATGATTGACCGAAAATTTCATGAAAGATTGTAATACAGTCTCCGACCACCTCAATTTTTATGTAATCGCCTTTTTGAGGTTGCCACTACTCATTTGAAAGTACTGTAGGTCTAGAGGCGATGATTCTGAGCTTATGAGCTCTTGCTTTAGACAATTAATAGCGCCAAAATTTATTTATAAAGGCCCACCATGAAAATTTCACTTATTTTATGTATCTGCCGAATGAGAGAAACTCACGTACATTCTTCAAGTCTTGAACGAGGTTTGTGATAGTCTTAGACATTTTACAGCTGCCTTTTTGCCACAAGGAATCTCCAAAGCACTTTTCTCAGATCGTTGTTGGATTTTTTTTTTGTTTTCAAACAGTTAATAAATAAAAAGCGTATAAGAAGCACTTTTACACTTTCATTGCACTTGCGAACCGTTCGCCCAAAAGGAAAAGTCCCTCAATTCATTCTCAATGAGGACACATTGAAAGCGAATTGGGTGGAAAGCGCTGGTCCTATTGGCACGAGTTCCCGCGTCCAACTGAAAAGTCAATCCGAGTGGTCAATATTAAAGCTGCAAGGTGCCGTTCCATAAGAAGACAGTGTTTCGACATCATATTCTTGGCGGTGGCACGGCTTTATGTTTATAATTATTGTTACGATATATTACATAAAGCCACACCAGCAAACCGGCCACTTTGTCTCTGTGTACCTCCAGTTGAACGCACGGGTGGGAAAAAGTGGGGAAATTCACTCTCCGAACGTACATATGTACATTGAGCAGCATAATTGAATTGAAGCTAATGGAATGGAATTCATCCAAATTGGCGGCAAACGACCAGCCACACTTTTGGACACAGTTCACAGCCTTGGTCGGCTTCCCATCTACACAAACGCCTCAATTGGACATGGAGAAAAGCTGCACTGGGAAATCAATAAGCGCAACGGTTTTCCCATCGTCCTTGACTCAGGGATGCAAAACGAGAATTCCCCAATATCACACGAGTTCTTCTCGCAATTTCTCATTGCAGCCGCTCGCGATTGCGGCATGCGCGAGGTCAGCACAGCAGACCTTTGGAAGATGTAAGTGAAATTGGCAGAAGCACTTTCTTCTTCGCCTCGGGCATTTGTATGGAATTTCTGCAGCATCATCTTCCTAAAAAAACGAACAGTGCAGCGGCCCAAGATATTGTTACGATCATAAAGTTAAATTACATACCAAAAGTGACGAGGATTGAAAGTTTCATGAAATTTCAGAGAGCTTGAATATATTGAAATTATAATTTCAATTTATTTTTCAATAAATTGTCATTTTCTAAAAAGCGCCATAGACAAAAAAATTTAATTCATCAAAACAATCGAAGTTATTCTGTTTTTTTATGATTCTTATTAACCTGAAAATCAACTGATATCGTTATTTAAACTAAAACACAGGTTCAGCACGTAATCACAATATCACAATAGTCTTAAATTTTTGTCTTAAAGAAATTTATATGTGGATCAATTCGATGAATGAATTGCTCAAAAACTCATCAAAAATAAAAGTTAGTATATAAAAGTTTCTTCCCCAACTTTTTGCAATGTAGGAAATGTTTCATGAAATTTACTGAAAATAAGACAACGCTCTCAAATCCTCACGACAATAGCCCGCTGTTGTCTCTGCATGTATGAGTAATTACCGTGTGCACGGAAATCAATGTGAAAATTTCAATATACAGACTTTTTGTCGACAATTTACAGCACTTTCACCTCTTAAGAATTTTTTCTCTCGCGCACTCTTTAATGGACAGCAACAAAGAGCAAACATTAATCTTGATGATTGATTTGGCGTTTGTGGCCCAAGATGTAATTTCGCTCGAGAAATTGTACCTTCGCGGCTCGGCGGTGAATACAGCTGCTGTGGCCATCTATTGATGCTATTATGTGAGCCTTCATGAGATTGAATTCGCCCATCCTCTCGGAATTGCTCTCCAAGCAAATCACACTTGCTCAGCACTGACGAGGAGAACTTATGTAAAACGCGATCGGCGTTTGTGTCACAAATCTCCACTAATGCAGAAGTCAATCACTGATTTGGATGCTATAATGCAAATTAGGGTCACTCTCCTATTTATTGCGATTTGCACTGGTGCAACGCACACAGAAGTTGTGCGAGGAACTGGCCAAGGCGCGCTTTCTTGAAACACTGAGCTGCGTGTGTCGAAACTGTTGGCAACTTTCTGGTACCGAGACTTGAAAGTCAAGTACATAGAGACCAAGTATTCCACTTGTACGCACACAGAGTTCCCCACTTCACCAACACTGCCCCACTGCGCCTTCACGTGAGCCGCTCAAATGGGGAAAATTGAGGTGCTATTTTGGGAGACGGAGATTTCCTCGCATCTCGTCAGCGCGAATCTCTGCATGCGAGTGAGAATTTTTTCCGCAGAAAGTCAAGAGCTCAAATCCAATTCTCCGACACTCCAAGCCAATGGAAATTGCATTTGAGCGAGAGAGCTTTGTGCAAGAGTTTGGGAAAGCTTCCGAGGACACCAAGCACTCCGTATTGATTTTGTTCTACATGAATTCACTGTGTGAGTGCAGTTGTTTCTGTCCATTTGAAATAGTTCACACATGGAACTGTTCATTGAGAACATTCCCATTTTATCTGCAGCGATTAATTTGCATCTTGTTTACGGAAATGCATTTGTTGCCAGAGAGACACTGAATCGCGTGCAATTCTTCCAGTATTGTCACTTTGCAGCGAATCATTGACAAAGCACGAGAATCACGCGAAATCAAGAGACTTCAAAGAATATTTTGTATCAAACAGATGAGATACTAAGTGTAAATCAACTTTATATTACAATGTTTAAATCCATTTAACCCTTCGTTGGCTATTCCCGAAGATTCTCATGTTTAAAAATACATTCCTCCAAGAAATATGATTAAATTTATCTTTACCTTGTTAGATATTTGTTCCAATTTATTCTTTTCTGTCCAAATCAAACCATGAAATAGAGATTACTCATGAATTAAGGCAAATCCGGTAGTTAAAACCACATAAAACCACAAATTTTAATTATAATGATAAAAAATGAAATTACTAATTCGTGACAAGAAACTTTAAGACATAGAAACTCTAGTAAATTATGATTGTGAAATGAGAATTTTGGTTTCTGTGGTTTTGTGGATTTTTCCTGTGCAAAAATCAAGTGCTGAAAGTGAAAATCAAAACATTTCTCCCAATCAAACTATAATAAACACATTCACTGAACCATAGAATGTGTCACAAAATAATAACGCTGAACAACCAAATTGAAAGAGAGACTCTTTGTTGTGTATCAATGAGAGCAACCGTTCAGCACAATCCAGATAGAAAAAATCCCTCGCACTGTCTCTTAATTTGAGAGGTGCCGTTGAAGGGATTCCGCGAGTCTCTCCCGACTGTTGAATGTACTTTTACTGATTGTGAAAAAGCGAATTTGTGCTCTGACGACGAAAGCCAGTGGCAAGAATCGAGACTCTGACGGGGATTTTGATGGATTGATAGCAGAGATTAAGAGAGAATCTATGAGACCAAGAGAGCGTAAGAGAAAGAACATTGCGGAGAGTTTAATGCAATTTTATTCGGTTTCTTTCTTTCAATAACACAATAAATAATTATTTTAGAAAAAAGGTTTTCCTACGACTCAATTGGCCCAATTCTCAGCAAATATTAATATCTGTATACAAAGAGATGTGTATTCAATTAAAAAATCAAAGCTACAAGTTCCGTAAATTTACCATTTTTCTCTTAAAGTTCCTTTATCGGTATTATTTCACTTGTTTTCTTTATATAAATAAACTTATTTAAATTACTGCTTCTGTGTTTCTTCATCTTGCAGAATCAAATTGAAAGACAATCAAATTGTGTGTTATTTGTAATTGAAATAAAATTTCGACTACAAAATCAAATTTTTCTGCTTCTGAGTTTGTGTGTTTAAATTTCATCTCATTTTTTCAATGTTTTTTTTCTTCATAATTTTACTTTGCCTTCCTTTTCATCCGTTCTCTTATAGTTGTTCATTCTATAATATTATTACTAATTTAATTGCAACACATTTAGTTAGAGCAGTCCAACAACAAATATAGGAATATGAAAAACGCTTTTCACTTTCTTCTCGTCAATGTTTTCTTTTAATTCCATCGTTTTTATATCGAAAAATGAATTTCAACTTTATTTCTAAACACTGAATGATTTTTCTCTTTCTCCTTCAAACTCTTCACTCATTTTTAGGTCAGTTTTATTTCCTCTTTTTTCCATCTCTTTCAAATAAGTACCGCGGATGTAAAATTAAATTAAAAAGTATTACAAAAAAAATCACTAATTCGTCTCCAATCTATAAATTATCCCTTTAAAAAAATCCACTTTCACAAAAAGAATCTTTTACAGTGTTTTCATCATTCATAATTACTTTATATTCCCAATAAATTTTTCTTAAGTGTGTTTTCCATTAATCTCAGTAGAAATATTTTTTTTTAAGATTAATAAGATTTTTATGTATTTTTTTTCTTTTAGAGCAATGATGGTCTAATTACAAGTTTCTCGTGTTCACAATCACTAATACATATTATATTTTTATTATATATTTTAAAATTTATATGTTACAATGTATGATTTAGCATAATTGAAAAAGGAAACTTTTTAGTTGTTCTTTTCTTGGAATTTAGAGACTGAAAATTGGAATATTTCAAGGTTTGTGTGACGACGCTTAAGGAGAACAGAAAGTCAAAAAGAAGTTGGAGAAATTAAACTACGATTAAATCATTAGCGAATTCCCTTCACATCGTGATAAAATAATTGAAACTAGTGGAAAAACCAATTACTAACAAAATTCGATGCTTTTACATGGTACTTTGGCAATAATTTGCTCACCTATTGTTCATACAAAACTAAATTGTTGCTACAAAACCGGAGTTTTCTATTTCTTTCTACTCATCTCACAGAAAAAATGGGTTAATCCAACGAAAGAGAAGCGTTGAGGCGTTAATTTCATCAGTATTTCTTTCAGAGGGGAGCTTTTCACACGTCTAAACTTCAATTTATATTTATTTTAATTTCGCATTTACTATTTTTTAATTACATATATCTTTATTGGTGGTGGTTTTTTTTTCAATCATTTTCCCATTAAAATCTTCATCATATATCTGCTTTTATATCATCTTAAATGCCGGTCTCTTTATAAATTAACTAAAAAATCCATCTTATGACAAAAAATCGTGAAAGACTTAAATTGTGAAATAACCTTTGATGTCTTTTCATCATTCTAATATTCATATTCTTTCATATATCATTAAACTAAGGTGAGGATGTGATTTTATAATGACAATTTTCTCTATTCTTCTCTCTTCACACGTTTTACAATATATTTCATCAATGGAGTTTGCAAAGCACTCTAACAGTTAAAAAACAGAAAAGTAGAGAAAAGTTGGACAAATTTCAATTTTCAAGTGGATTTTCACAAAATCAAAAAAATATTCTACGGAGAAAAAAATTGCATTAAATTCTGTGAATTATTATCATTCTTGCCGCTGTTGCTCTTCACATCCTGATTTTCATCCTCCTCGTATTCATATGCCAATTTTTGTTGTTCTTTTTTGTGTTGTCTCATTAATAATAATATTACTCCATGATTCATTAATATTATTATATGACGGATCAATTCTTCTCGTGGAACGCATCACATAGCATACTTCCTTGTCCACTCTCTGGCCAGCTCATTATATTTTTCTCGGTCGGTTTTGTATATTCTGGCAATCTCTGGTACCAGAGGATCATCTGGATTTGGATCACAGAGCAGAGAGCAAATAGATAACAAAACTGCAAGAGAAAAAGAGACGTTTTCCATTAGTATTCCGCATTGTCTCGAGTGCGCGCACATCTTTCTTATCTTATCTCTAACAACGGAGAAAACTACTGCGTTATGTCTTGATAAATACACTTGAAAAAAATCACAGTTGCAGCCAAGCAAATAAAACACACACACACACACATTCAGAGAAGATCATTGAGAAAGTCCATTCCATTATTAAATCTGAACATTCAATCTAATTTTCTAACAAATTTCATCAGTTTGATGTCAATTTCTAAGCCAACATGTCATGCAAAGCACTCCAGATGTGGAGAACCGTCAAACAATGGCAGAGAAAAGAAAATCTGCAATTTTGGTTTCCAAAATTATTGCTCAAAACTATTGTTAGATTGTGTTTCTTTCAAAGAGGTTTTTTTTTAAATCATGTCACGAATTTTTAAACAAAAAGTAGTCTACTTAGTACATATATTTGAGTGCAAAATTTACTTCCAAGAATTGAAAAATAATGTTTTTAACAATTTCTATAATATGAATTGTCTTAATGAAAAATGCCAAATATTGACAGATATTTAATCGATCCTACATAGACACTAAAGTAATCAGAATTTTTGCAGATAATCTGATGCTTAATTAAATAACATCACAAACAATTCATAGAAACGGAACATATATCTCTAAATATAGTAAGTATTGATAAAAATTTCGCTGAATCTAATATGCACACACTGTGTATATTGGAAGAGAACACATTCTTGCCAATTGGAAGCTCCAATAAGCCGATGCAGTAAACATTTGAACAAAAACAAAAAAGCTATAAAGTGATATTTTAAATTTAACAATAGACTGATTCACAGTTTTAGTAATACCGGTAATTACCGTTTATAACCCACAATATCAATTAATTCGTCAGATGATTCAGATCTCTTATGATCAATATGAAGTTTTCTCTTCTACATATTTCTCAATTTTTGTGAAAATCCGCACAAAAACAAGAAGTTTTATTACATTTTCAGACGCTAGGTATACACAATCAAAACAAGCAAGTAAATTAGCAAATTTATCACACTTTGAAATGCCCAGACATAGAGACACTTTTGGATCACGCGCTCCCCAATTAGTTGCACTTAACGCAGTCATTCAGTATTGAATTACGTCCGACCCAAAATTTTTACATGAAAAGAAGGAAGGCAGCAGAGAAAAAAACCCCTCAATTTACACGAATAACGGAGCATGCGCGTTTTCGCCACACAGAGAAAGAGAGCAAGAGAGTGAGCAAGAGATAGAAGAGAGGCAAGAAAGTGCGAGAGAAAGAGAGAAGGTTAGGGGAAAAAAAAGAATCCCGAGGATTTTCACACACTAACACACAACAATGACTAAAATTACTCCGCTGTCTCTTCTTACACTCACCTTTTGAAATAGTTAATGCTGGTGACCACTGAGATCTTAGTATATCGAGACAAATTGATCCGTTACTGTTTATGTTCGGGTGATATATACGTGTTGTAAAAGCCACTTTTGGCGGTTTGAACGGATAATCTGTTGGAAAGTGGATTGTTAGAAAAAACACACCTCCTTGATACGGACTATCAGGCTGCAAATAGACAGAGAAAACATACGCCAATGTTAATCTCATCAAAAAGATATCAATCGACTACGCTTATCAATGAAAAAAATTTACTCACCGGTCCCATAATTGTTGCTTGCCAATGAAAAACTGCATGCGATGATGCGCCAAACGCCGCGTTGTAAATATGGGGAGAAAAGATAGAGAAGCATTAAGTATCTAATTAAAAATTCATGTGCAAAGAGTCTGTATTATGATGAGTTAATTGTAAAATTCCCAAGCCACTAAATCTATTTTAATTGCACCAAGATCTGCGCATTCACACTCTCAATATCGTATTGGAGAATTTCTGCTATTTTCTTCTCTTCATCATCATCATCATCATCATCGAAATAGGACAACAATCCACGTCACACACACACACTCGCAAAAGGGCTCTCCGGCGAAGAGAAGTGAAGAGAGCGCGAGCGAGAGTCATGGTCAGGAGAAAGCGAAAAAATCTAACTGTAAAAAGACGTGACAATTCTTTATGCAAAGTTGATGCGTGATATTTCAGCAAAATTAATAATAATACAGTTAGAGAATTTCGCCGAAAAGCCGGATGGCTTGAAACACACTTCGCAAGAAAAAGGACTGAATCACAGAGTTTTATTCTGAAGACACTGATAACTTTCGCCTCAGAGGATATCTTTTTTTTCAGCTCATATTGTGGGTTTAATAAAAATATTTATTCTTTGTGTCACTTTTGACGAGACTGATAATTTTCTGTTGTAAATAACCGGAAGATGAACTACTTAGATCTAATCAGCCACAGGACGACTTTAATTAAGTCAAGTACTACGGAAAACGTGTCTATAATAAGCAAAAGATATCGAAACAGAACCGAATTTGTGCCATAAAGATTGTGCTATTGAGGAAAGTACTTTACCAAATCTACTAATTGCTTAGTCTTATAAATCTTCTTGATAGGTTGAAACATTTCTGGATTCTTCATATAAGAAAAACAAAATTATTCTAAAGAAGTCTTCTATTTGAATGAAGTTTGAAACATTCTTCAGATTACTCGACCTCTAAAATTCAGGTGTTTTTCAAATGCATTCTTTGCTTGCGTATATACATTTCATGTTCTTTTTGAGTATCTCATAAAACAATCTTACATTATCATAAAGCAACAACGTCAATAGTCTTTAAGCATGATTTTGAGATAGAATTGCAGACAAAGGACTCTGCTTCCTGTGTCTGATAATAACAAGACGAGCAGTGGACAGCGTTTGTGACCGATAAAATAAAATCAAATCATGCCCTGAACGAGTACTAAAATAAAGAGAAAATTCCTTATTTTATGTCTTTGTTGCATTAGAGAAAATACTTTTTTTCAGAAGGTTTGATTGTTTTCTGGTTCATTAGGAGAACGTCTCTCGAATGTTGCTCAAAGGCAGCTAAAGTCCATCATGCAAACAGCATTCTTATAGGGAATAAATCAAACTGGATTCTTCTTCAAGTAATTTTTCAAAAATATCATGAAGCTTTAGGAAATTCCGCGTGACGTCACGGCGCTAAAAAGCGAACTAAAAATGCGGAAGTAATCTGTCTGCGAACAACACGTCGTCAAGAGTGACGAAAGTTGTAACTTTCCATTCAGTGATAAAAGCTGTGAGAAGAGTCCTCAGAAAACCACCCACAAACGCGCTGCCCCAATTATTGACAAGCGTGGAGAGGAAATCGATAGAATTTGAGAAATAGTGGCGACAGTAGAATATTCTACTTGGACATTCTCTTCAGCTGTGAGAAATGATGACGAAACAGCGACAACGCGACTTTGAAATATAAATTAGGCACAACTTCGAGGACACAAAATACCGTTGTACTCGCGACGTGTGCATATTGTAAATTCTTTGGCAATTTTCACAATTTTTCTGCCAATTCCGCAACATTTCCCTTCATCGTCAATGGGCGTGAGAATTGGTGTGTGTGTGTGCAAGAAGTCCCGTCGAAATCCACGGAACGCCTTATCGTCGAGGCAAACAGACATTTTCTGCGAGAGAAATGAGAGCCAGAGAGGCGCAATGGGGCGCCCGATACTCACGATCATCCCCAACGGGTCCTGCTGAGCATTGTGCAGGCGGATCTCGGCCCAAGTCTTGCAGCTCCTGGAAAGACAGAGGAAGAGAGTCTGTTAGTTGTCGAAGAGTGGCTCAAGGTTTTCCCTGACCCACGCGACCGTGAGCCAAATATGGTGACATGGAATTAACACACAACCTCGCCATGTTTCACACACAGGCAATCAATAATATTCCCAGCCCGTAGCCCTTCAGGTGGGCGCCCTTTTCGGCCACGCCGAGCGCCCGCTGCGCCCCCGTGAATTCGAGTGCCTGGCTTCCGGCTTTTATCTCGCACAACTCGCACGCATATAGAGCGACGTTGTGTGTGAAAAATGGAGTTCGTCGCCATCCGTCGCGCAGTTGGAAAATGAGCACCCCGCGCGACTCTGCCCCAAAACCCACCCAAAACTACGCCCCACACCGCCCCGCCGAGCCCAGAGCCCCAGCAAACCCACCCGCGAACCCTCACGCGCAATTTTCCACCTTTTACCCAGCCATGGAAGCATCCAGAACGGCACAATCGGGCCTTTTTTCACACACCACCTCGATGGAAGCACACTCTCCGTGTCCAAAGTTGGGGCGTCAGCTTTTCACCCCAAATTGCCCCGTTCCCGGCCACAAAACCACCCCACACGCTATCACAATCACATCCACGTACCTTGTTAATTCTTTTTAACGCCATCTCGACTGTATTGTTTTAATTTATCTCTGGTTTTTCTACACCAGACAATGGAAATTGTTCGTCGAACCTTTTGATTGAAATACCAAGATGGCTGATGAAAACGAAGTGGGTACGACGTGAGTCGATTATTGCATAACGAGATATATTTCACCGAAATTTCCCACAATTCGCACACTCACTACCGCCCAGTTAAATCCCAAAAATGATTTTTCGTGTCACGACTTTTCCAGTCAGAGCGCAATTTCGCCGTGCAGACGGAAAATTCTCTGAAAAACGGAAGTAGTAAAAACGAACGAGTTCAGTTGTCAGTCGCGGAGTGAGCGAGACAACTATATGTGACAGAGGGGAATGTCAGCGTGACAGTGCAGAGGGCAGCACTTTGCAAATGGCAGGCAACCTATTTCGATTACACACTTTTTCCTCGCAATTTCTGCCCGAAACTCTCTGTTCGCAACCATTTTATCGTGTCTCTGCGTGAAAATCCACCCCCTTGTGCGTTCATGTGTCCCTACCAGATGGATAAGCGCGTGAAGAGTGGCGGGAAAGTGCTGAAATCCACCAAGTCGCCAGCGATGGTGCATGAATAGTGAAGTGTGACTTCAATTGTAATTTTTATTATGTGTTGGGAAATCCAGGAGAAAACAATTTAGAAAGTGTCTGGGATTACTGTGGAAATCAGCGCACATGGAGGACATGGGGAGCCCAATCCTGGGCCAGGAGAGCGACGTGCATCTCCTCACGACGGCTTCAGGGAAAGCGCAGTCTTCGAGGTCACTTCCCTTATTTTACGATGACGAGGTGAGTTCCATTCCTTTCAGCGCATTTTAGCATGTCTGCGAAGAGGCAATGAGACAAAAAAGACGCACACCATAACCTTCGGGCAGCTGAGCCGCTCTTGGAAGCTCTCGTTCCAATTTCTCTACACTTTTTCTCCGCTGCGCCCTCGAATCTGTGTCAAATTTGACGATTGTCCAAGCTCAATATAATCAATACACACACTTCTCGCCAATTTACATAACATCTCGCCCAGAGCATTCAGGTTTCCTCGCCATTCTGCCTCTCAACAGGTCGACGTCCACACAGAGATTAGCCAGAGTGATTCACACACTCTTGAGTCATCCGCAAAGGCCGCGCGAGAATATTCGTCAATGGATCAAATGCACATCCATTGACACTTTGGGCGAATCTCAGGGCTTCGCGGAGTCTCCCACGCGCCCGGAACCTCAATGGGTGGCGGACAAAGAGCGGGTGGAGCTTTCCTCCTTCGCTGCGGCTTCAGATAAGCACATGCAGACAGCGTCGTTATTTTGTCTCGTTGTCTGGCCGACGCGAGTTTGGTGGAAAATCACCCACAAGATAAGCTGAGAGCGCTTCTCCACAGGGATTCCCCAAGGCTCTTCACTCGAGAAGGTGTTTCAGAAGAATTCCCTGACTTTCATCAGCACTTGAACGTCTTTTGTGTATATTTTGTGCACATTTGGATCTTCTTTGTCACATGAAAACAATTGGCAATTGACTTCTAAATTTAATTCAAAAAGCACCACCGAAATTGCTATAGTGTTATTTCTTGGTTATTTCCAATTGAAGACCTAGAAACTCCGCCCATGACGTTGCTGAGTGAAAAAAAATTCACATTTTTTCTATGGAATGACTATGAAATTCATCGAGCATCACGTCATGTGATTTTCGGAGTTTTTTTGTGAGAAATTTACCTATTTTCTGAGTTCTCTAAGAAAATATCTCACACAAGATAGCGTGATGTTCTGAATCAAATTCTTAATTAGACTTTAATTTAGATCACCGACGACGAAGCGAACGATAATTCCTTTTAAAATCCACTGTTAAAAACCACCAACCATTTTTAAAGACTATGAATTTTCAACTCAATCAAATCATTAAATGACAAATGACATTTTATAAATGAATAAATTAATTATCAAATTAATTATTGGAATTCTTGTGTTTCGTGAGCCAAGAGAATTGATTACGTGATATTTTTCCATGAAAAATCACTCATCAAGAGGATTTTCTTGCAATATAATGACGACTCATCAAAATTATCATGTATTTTTACATATCACGAACGAGATTGCGAATAACTATTTTTGTAAGAATCTATAGGTTTGATCTTAAGCCAGATTAGGTTGATGTAGTTTATAACTTTAGGCTTTCAGAAAATTTCATCGAAGCCTAAAAATTCTTATCTTGCTTATTCTAATTTAGGTCAGTTTTTGCCCGTTTGAATGATTATTAATATCTCAAGAGTCTCAAGAGAAATCCAATAAGTAACAAAGGTCTTTGTAGAAACTGCGCCAGACTGTTAGCTATAGCTGTGAATTCATTGTAGCATTGCGACTGAAAGAACAGCAGAAGATGGAGGCGTTTTCATTCACTGTTAATTGCTTCATTGCATTATTAGGTGAGACATTCGCGCAGCACTGTAGCACAGGATTCAGTAATAATAATTGCATGTTTCATGCGAGGAGACAAAATTAACACCTTTCTCCATTTTGTCTCAAAATTCTGCCTAAGCTTTCTCATTGTTAACCCTTTCGCGAGGCGGAAAAGAAATTTGTTTTGTGGGCAAAAAGATACAATACACTCGGTTGTACCATGAAATGGATTACGCGGACTTCTTTTAAGCTTCCTTTGGCGACACTGTAATGGTTTTTAGATTAATGTCGGCTAGAGTGAGTGAGCGAGAGAGAGAGAGAAAAAACGCAGCGATTCATGAAAGTTTATAAATCATATAGATAAAGAAAAGGTGCGATGAAAGCAAAGATCTTCCGTGATTTGCTTTCTCACTTTGTGGAGAATTTATATTTTTATCGGCGCCACTTCAGGTTAATGATGTAATTCCAGCTTCATTACCCTATCGGGGAGAACCCTATCCGCTGTCCTAAGCGCTGCAAATGAATCAAAAATGCCCACACATCAATTAGCAACGGGTTCGACTCGTATATGATACTTTATATAAGTTTGTGGCCTACGTTCAGTAATGTGTGAAATCACACCTAGAATACATGTAGAGTGAGAATGGGAGAGGAAATGGAAAAGAATGCTAAAACGTGCAAACACAATTTTCACAAACTATCATTTTAATTGAATTAAATTCAATACCGATGATCCACACAGTAATACTTAGACACCCATCAATATAATTTAATTATACATTATGTAATTACGCGATTCGCTGTATTGTGTTCTATTGGTGGGCTATTTTTGTACAGCACGCACGCTATGTGAGATGGTTTCTTGATCTTGCCGTTGGCATTGTACCAAAAAAGTGGCGTTGGAAAGGCGGAAGAAGAAAGTTGATCCTGAATGCGTTTGGCGTGTAGAAGAAGGTATTTGCCACTAACACAGCGTGCGTATTAGAGAATTCGCTAAGCTCGTACGACCTTGCAACCACTGCTAAATGCGCTGTAATGTGTTGTTTTTGAGACACAAAATTCCAATACACTACTCGCCAATATTGCATTTCTTTTGTAGTGCTTCTTTTGCCCATGTACAATAATTGTACATAGAGAGAAGCATGACTTTATCTCGGCGTTTCTAATGCTATTGGTAATGATGACTGGTCACCTTAATTATAGTGTAGTTGCAACAGGTTGTTAAAATGTAGGAAACTTCTGCTCAAATATCACACAGCCACAAGGAGTTGTGCGCTACCTTTTGGCGACAAAAAGGTAATTGTAGTTGGCATTTACATTTACCTTATTATTAGTCAACAATGCACACAAATATATTACACTATTTGGTAATGCACACGAGTGTATGTTGAAAAAAGATTTTGATATTTTTCATGTTGCAATCTCGTGTCTAATTTCCGTTTGTAATGAGCTTTCAAGGGGAGAGAAAAGTTGAATTTTGGTTAAAGGAGAATTCGTAAAGGTTTCATCTTGTTTTGCGTATTGACAAGAGTTTTGTCACGTTTCTATTTGGAAAGATTAAATAGGGGAAAGCGGGGCGGGAATGAATTAGAATGTGACTATTTGAGAATTAAATCTTCTTTTACGGCTAGTAAAGTTCTTATGACATTTTCAAAAAGCGTGAAATAAGAAGAATCTTTAGAAAATAATACGATATAGTTTGGAGTTCTTAATGATTTCGTAAGATTTCTCACTTAATGTCTAATGATCTTGGTTTTTTTCTATCTCATTGCGAGTTTGTGTAAACTAATTCAAAAGAAAAGAGCTCAAAGTGGACTGCTCTCCCCTATGAGCTTTTAAATGCACAAAATGTGCTTTTTCAAGGCTCCGGGAAACTATCTCACCCTTCGCCGCTCACTGTAAACAATTTTTCTTCATTAGCCAGACTCAAGAATCGCCACTGACCACAAAAGCAACGCACTTGCCCAAGCATATTTAATTGTGGCTCCGAATTTAAAATGTCGTTATGTGATTATGGTGAATTGTAGGGATGGCGCGCTCTTGTGTTGGTGGTTGTAGTTGAGTATGAATCCAAGTACAGGTATTTCCAAGTGTCTGCGTGTTAACGTGACGTGTGGGGACTTTGGCTGGAGTTCTGCTTAATGCCCACTAACTCTAACAAACGAACCGTGTCATGAAGCGAAACTTTGCTTTCAGCAATCGCACAGCATGAGTCAGACGCCGATGGTCGATCGCGATGAACGTATTTTGCGCTATGATTTGATAGGCTCTCCATTCTTGCTGTGTTGTGTGTGGCTCAATAGAAAGGTGTGTGATAATAAGTTACAATTCACCCTGTATAATTATCCGAAATATATTGAATAATGGCTACATAATTTCACTCTGTGTGTGTGTGGATTATTAGAAAAGATCGGCGGCACAAAGGATGAAAAATTTAATAAAAGATTTGTGTGTGGGGTGAAAATTATGATGTTGAAGAGGAGCCAAAGAGAAAAAGAAGAGTGAAATTAATCTTCAGTTCGTGTGTGTGTTGCGGGGCTTTGAAAGTTTTACCCAAAAAAGATTTAACACTCACGCAAAAATGGTATTTGCTTAAAAGCATTAGCGAAAAAGATGTGTGGACTTCAAATGAAAAGATGATGTACATAAAATGCATTAAAAGTGTTGGCTTCAAGTGCTTCATTTCAATGCAATGAATCAATCTTGAAACTGTACATACAATCCGAACCAACCCAGCCGATGTTATATGCAAAGGAGAAAAAGTGTTCATAAATCAGAAAATTATATATTAGCTGGCAACTCTCGGTAAAAGTAATCTTTAATTTCGTGGCGGCTGTGTGTGAATTTGTATCAAGAATTTTCAATGAGTTTCTTTTTCTTTCATCTGTTATTTCAATATTATTTGAATGCAAATTGAAATTAATAAGCAAAATAAGACACCAATTCATCCATATCTAAAGAAAATGTTCAAAATTGAAATTTCAGTTCCAGTGAATGATTTGGTTAATTTCTTTAATAAGCCAACCATATGTTTAAAGTTCCCCCTACACATTTCAAGCGCATTTACATTATTTATTTCCACCACTTTTTAACGATTTGCTATGTACACTTTGGGTCTCTCTTCTATATAATCATGTGATACATAGAGAAAAGGAGAGATACACAAATCTCAAAGCGATATCCACTCACTTGTTTACTCTACATTGGCTTCCGTATGTGTTTCATTACAGTATTGTGTATTCATTTATTGTATTGTGTATGTAAAATGGATGAATTCAGAGTGTATGGCAGAATGATGCTCATAAAAGTAATTCCTTATTAACTTTATTTCAACAAATTACTCACATTTTAAAACTTTATGCTGGAACAGTTGATAAACTTTGCAATAAATCTCAAGAACAACAC